CGCACATATTCAGCAGGAAACTGATTATGGTACCTTTATCTACTAAGATAAAAAACAAAAAGTATGCTGTGCCTAAATGTGTGTACAAACATTTCTCTTGAATATAACATTTTATTTCCAAAACACTGAGCATTTAAAAACGATTCTTCATACAGAGTTATATGACAATATTTTCCTCTGGAGTGGGCTTTGGCAATATGATCTACTTTGAGATGGCAGTTTATTAGCTACATCTAAATGCTATCCAACACAACAATGGTCAAACACTTCTAAACCCTGTTCATTATATTGTGATATGGCTACACTCTCCCATGTGGAGAAGAGTTGGACACATTTTAAAGGCTTTGGATGCATTAACATGAACCAAATAAATTGTTTGTCGAGTAGATCGTTCTAATGAACCTGCATTCTTCCACGACATTTTGAAAATAATTCATCAACTCTTCTGTAATCCCACTAAGCTCTAGGTAGCAGTGAACTTCACAAATAGCTCAAGCAAGCACCTTTAAACCATAATGCTTTTTCAAGTAAGCACAAAAGGGACCCATGCTGCCACAGTACAGTTACTGTTTGTTCTTTCTCAACATGTTCCTCACAATGCAACATGATTAAAGTATGCTGTAGTGGATCTACTTCTTTCATAACACATTTTAAATGGGTGTTGACACGCACTTCTCCCTGGGTGACACACTGGGTGGCCATTGAAAGCAAACTAAACACACCCAATACAAAACAAACTGCCAAATGGAAACTGACAAATGGATTGAAGCAATCAAAAGCAGAAGCGCTATAAAAGACTTAGATATTATGGGAAGATGAAAAGCACATACTTGTGTAACAGTGTATAACTAAATATTAGTAATCTGTTATTTAATTTGTTTTTTTAACAGAGACCTCATGCTTTGGTGAATGACTGTAGAGGCTTAACTGACACCGATTCAATACATAATCAATTAATTGCAAGAGTAATGTGCGAGAATCTACATTTAATATTATATAAAATACACAGGCATGAGAAATATAGCATCAGCAAGTTTCACTATAACATGCAATGAGTCTTTGGAGATGTAACAAATTAATTGACAGGAGCTGAGGAAGTAACTGGGACAAAATACAATGAAGGGCGCGTTCAGGCCAGCCTTTCGATCAAACCTCTGAAATGTCCCATCCCATGCCACATAAAGCACACGGTAAACGCCCAGGAGTTAAAAAGTTATTCTCTGAGAAAGGAGTAAAGAGTGAAGCAGAGAGCCCTTGCCTGTTGCCAGAGGAGGTGCTGTTGTTGAGTGTGTAGCCAGGGCTGCTGTCTCCATTGGTCACTGTGGAGGAGATACTGGCTGTTGAGTTGGAGGAGAGCTTTGGGGAGGTAGTGAAATTCCTGGATGGGGTTGTACTTGATCTGGTGAACAAGAGCAAAATCATCATTTAGAAAGCATGTTGTTTAAACTTGACAAACTGTGTTTATAGTAAATGCTCTAAAAGTCTATACTAGGATACAATTTACCGAATTTTCCTGAATGACACAAAAACAACAACAAGGTATTTGCTTACTTGGGATGGGACGCTTGTCTGGGCCACGTGCCGTCGTCATTCTTCCGCTCGATCACAAGCACCTGTGGTAAAACAAGCTAAATGAGAGCTATGCTGGCACAACTGACCTTCATGTCCGAGCTATCATGTCTCAGGGCTTGAATTTAATACTAACAGTTAAACCTGTGCCAAGTGTTGTAGAGCTTTAGCAGCTGTATGTAGGTCTATCAACTGCACTTACTTCCATGTGTGATTTGTCTGTTGTTGACTTCCAGCTTGCAGTTTCAAAACAAGGCTGCTGTTTACTCTCAAAAACATTTGAGGCCAGAGTGAGTTAGATTTGATCGTGCTATGTAGTAAGATGTTATTTGATTTCCTACACCCAGTCAAGCCACCATACAGAATATATACAAAGTAACACAACATATCAGTAATAGCTTGCAATACAACACTACCACAATCCTCAGCATTGAACCATACAGCTGAACCACAACACTTCCACACCTCAACAATATATATATATATATATGATTGCAGGGCTATGTTATTGTATTACAATAGACTCAGAGTTCCTGTTATTTGACAACGCGTGTCAATGAATTATGTATGCACAGTGAGTAGCAGTACTTTACTGAGCTTCAAAAGAAATGAGGAACAGAGTCTCTCATTGATCTGAAGGGCATTTGAATAACACAGCTCTACACTACCTGTCCCTGGAAGAGTCCGGCATCCTGTACAGTGCTGTCCGGCTTATTCAGCTGCTCGTAGGTGTTGCTCATGTATTTGTTCCAGAGCCGTGTCTCCTTCTCCGATGGGATATTGAAAAGCGTCCTCATATCCTTCTCTATGGTATCTGAAGAAATATATATTATTATTATTATCTTGCCATGCTTTCAGTGTGTAGGAAGCCATCTATTTAGTCATTTTCTAGGCCAAGTTAAATACATAGAACAATGTGGCGCCTTACCTATAGTATCAGCTTTACTGAAATGACGTGTAACAACATTGTCCATGTTGTCATTCTCACACAAGTTCAGCTCCAGCAAATAGACTTCCACTTTACAGTGCTTGACAAACATGCCATGTTCAACAACCTGGAGCAGAAAGGAGACATTTAGGAGCCCATTTCAAAAGTGAATGGTCAAAATAAACAAAGTAAAAATTACAACGGCGTTACCTTCCTGACGATGGGTCTCTGGCACTCAAGGCAGCTGTACCAGCTCACAAGCTTATTCCATGCTTCAGTGGGTACAAGGACATAGTCCAGCTCATCTATGAGGTGCTCTTTCAGGGACTGAGTCTCCTGGTCTATAAGAAAACAAAAAAAACAAAATGATGACTACAGGAGGAAATATAACTCCTATAATCTTTATGTGGGATTTGTGATTTCGTCAAGAGCAAGCAAAGCAACATGTATGTATGTTTAAAGTTTACCTGAGAAGAGCCCAGAGTTATCAATTGGTCCTGGATAGAGGCTACGTTCTCCAACATTGTACATGTCCCAGTTGTCAAATCCAACATACTTCTTCCATTGTTTGAACCACCGGCTGTCGATTAGATACCTAAAACAAACAAGTTGATAACAATGCATTACAAACATTTCTAATTTGCAAAGACACCTAATTTTTTCTGAAGTCTTTGAGACTTAGATTTTATAAAGCATTTGTTGGTCATCATATTTTTTTATATCAAGCAAGGACAGAAAGGGGTCAAAATATGATACAATGCATGAGACATTGTACTCAGTCTTCACCAACCCAGAACATTATGTAACAACAAACTGCCTTGGCATTTGCAGATATAGTAACAGCAAGCTAGTTTGACTTAATCTCGTCCCAAGCAAGAATCTCCTTTAGTTAATAGGCTTGTTAGAAAGCATTCACATAGTAAGCCGTTGAGTCATGGCTTTGTTTTCCTTACTACTGTCAGAATTAGTACAACAGCTTCAAAAAGGAGGAGCCTCCAAATGAAATGGTGTGATCTTTCTTTGCCCTTTAACCTAAGGTTGTTTTTTCTGAGCTATGCAACAGAAATCAATCATACAATCATGCTTGTGTAAAATCACACATTTCAGCTTAAATGCCATGGGATATTTGTTTATTTTTTAAATAAGTCACAGGGCCTTGAGACACTACATATAGGCAATCACTGATACATCAACAACCTTGTGTTATGGTCACTGAGTAGCCAGTAGCTGACAGATATAAAGTGGTTCTTCCTTTGGTGTCCATTTATATCAACAAAGAAGGCAATTTAAATTCTTGCTCAAGCCTGTTTAATATACAAAACTCCCGTTGCCCAGGCCTGGCTGATCTTTATGATATTAAACAATGTTAGCTAACACAGGCAGCAGGACGGTAAATAAACATTTCAGACAACTTCAACAGGCATGTCAATACAAGCAGGTAATGACATCGCAAAAATATTCCTGCCAACAGGCCCATTTCCTGATCACTAACGTTATTTATCTAGCAACGAGCCAGTTAGACTGGCAGGAGATTCCACCATCTGAATCCAGGGCCTGTTCTATCAGGCGACGAGTAGCCACCAAATCAGCCAACGTCACCTAACTTGTCACAAATTAGATATTAACGTCCCAGTACTCAACACATGAGCCGCGCAGCTAGCAATGTTAGTTTCATTGTTTACGACCAACGTAACTAGTTGTTACTGCATGCTCCACTCTCAACAGATACATTGGAAAGTCGGACTGGCTAACAACTAGCGTGCTAACTTGTTAACATTAGCTGGCCAAAATACAGCTCATCAGCTTTCGATTTCCGACTTAAAACCATTGGTAGCGTTAGCTTGCTAGCTTTAGCATCTTAGCGTTTCCTGTTTCTCACAAGCTAACGCTAGCTAGCTACGGCTAACAGAAACACCCTGGTAACGTTCGCCGCTGCAGATTCTTACCATTCGTCACCCTTTCTCAGAGTTGTTTTCAAAAGTGACCCAATAGTCTGTTTTTGATTTTCGGTTGAAGGGGTTGGCATTTGTGCTGCTACCGGCTCCGAGTCAGAATCTGCCGCGCCACCCGGCTCGGGTCCTCCTCCCTCGGCCATCATGCAGTGAGTGTGCCGGTATCGTGAACGCGCGGATGGAAGAGGCGCACTGACTGGGGCGAGCTTCAGAGCGCTGCTCATGGGAAACGCTCTTCCTCTACGGCCAGTACGAGCAGAGCTGTAGTAATCCAGTATTACTGCTCTGCAAACCAGTCAGTCATAGGATTGTTAAACGCTAAATGGCATCTAAGTGCTTTAGATCAAGTGCACCAAAAGTGCTACTAAAAAAAACATCCGTGTATTGTTATGACCTCAAATGTCTTCTGAAGCATCAACAAACTTCATCACTGACTTCACCTACGAAACGTTATTGCTCCATAGAAGAATGACACATTAGACAAATTACTCGTTTGCATTGTAATGGTATTTCTTAAATGTGTTGGCTTCATTAAAACAAAGAAAACAAGGTATTTTGTCAAAACAGGCTTTATGTTGTACAAAACACAGGAGTTACATAACAAAATAAACCATCTAAATAGTTCAAAAACATAATTCCAATCACACAAACATTCTCTGCCAACAGCTAATCAATTTCTGAGTCTACTTCCAACTTTAGGCAACTGACGCAGACCAGCTGATCTATGATCTAACAAAATAATTATTAAAGGTAGTTAAAGAATAATTAAATAAACATCATTCAGACCTGTTAAATGGTAGTGTGTTCTATTGTTTAACATGATGATAGATATGAGAATTGGAACAGCTAGTCTAGCTGTGGATGTTATAAGAAAAAATTATCACTAGGTAGTTCACATTCTATAACCTAATGGCATACAGATACTAGCTTATAATAATGCATTAAAAAAGCAAAACATGTTTTTTGATCCTCCCAAACATTTTGTTGTCTCAAAAGAGATGAGGCAGCAGCAGAACCAGTGTATTGTTAAGATATTTCAGATATTCTATTAACAGTAATGGAAAGGAAATAATGCATGTGAAAAGACAAGGACCACAAATCAGTGAATGTAAACTTTGCATAACATGAAGGGATTTGTCCCGTCTCTGTGGCTTTAACCAAAAACAAATCCCTGCAATGATCAAAATTCCAATTGAAGGCTCCAGGTAGAAGTGACCAGGCCATCAGAAGATACCGCATGGCAGCTCCTTGCTAAACAAGCCATCAAAGTCCAACTCTCTGCTCATCAGATCCTCCTCTACACTCTCCAGTGCCCACTGATGATCCGTCAGTTCCAGTGCCTCCCACTCACCCTGTAATTAAGGACAGACACCACATTAATAACCAAGCAAAGCTCAACCATATGAATTATGCTGAAACTACAGGATATACCTTGAAAGCTTTATTTGTATCAGCAGGCATTGCCATGGCAGCACCACTCATCTGCTCCTGCATGATCCTTGACTGGTCTGCACCTGTAGGGATTGCATTGATAAGGAATTACAGAAAATACCAACTTTAATCATCAGTGTGAATTGTTTTTCTACTATAACTGTCCAGGAAACATCTTCAGACATTTTGAATGACACAACTCTAACGGACCGTCCACACAGCAGCGTTAAAAAAATCTTGGAGGTGGGCGTATCTGAAGCTTGGGGATTTTTTGCGAGCAAGGCACCAACAACCAATCACATGAATCTCCCGCCCCCGACATACGAAGCAAAACAGTTTGAAGTAAACTGGATATAAACTCCCCAAACAGGCGAAAACATACCACTGTCTCTGCCACCTCCCTCCATGCCTGGCTCCTCCGGTTTATATCCCGGTAGGTAAATAGGGACTGGTCATAAAGCACCGGGTGATTCCCTACCGCTAATTTCTCCTCCATTTTTTGGAATATGAGGAAATGAACACTGTATGTCACTCCCAGCTTACACGCCGTTTGATTGGCTAGAGCTTGAACGGTCAGATTTGCGTACACGGGATTTGATTGGCTGACGCTTCCACCTCAGCCTCAAAAGTTGAACATTGCTCAACTTTGAATCCTGAAAATCCTGAAAATCTCCGCTCGCCTGCCCACAATGCAGTTCGGTGAAAAGTGAGGGAAAGTGACGTCACCCCATTCAAAGTGAATGGGCAGAAGCGTTTCAAGATTTTTTAACGCTGCTGTGTGGACGGTCCGCAATTGTATGTTTTGAAATAAATATTGTTATACATTAAATAACTGCTTGTAGTATGATATGGTGACAAATACGGTTGAACCTTCTGACCATCAGAATAAGTAGAATTAACGATTTCATGTTACTTTCAAACAATATGAAGTAGAAAACATTGCAAATTATCATAAAATGAGCTGCATTTACCATTATCTTGACCCAGAATTAAAGAGTACATGCTTCGTAGTCCAAACACGTTCAGGAAGTACCATGAAGCCGAGCTCACCCTAGATGATAAAGACACACACAGACACAACAAATTACAAAAAGGTCACATAATATCTTAAGCATTTTAAGATTAGTTTAAAAAGGACTGATACAGTAAATGTCTACAGATCATATTTTATTGGTTTACCAGGAGGCATCCAGTGAGAGGAGCTCTACTCCTTGCTGCAGCATGGGCTTGAACCGAAGAGTGAGAGGGAAGGGAACCTTAGCTGAAAATGAAATAGATTAGCGAAGAAACTCAATGTAGTATGTCCATATCAACAATATGCAATCAGGTAGCAAGACACATTTAAAGTTGTCTTTTGTGAGGGTCACATTCTGCATCACAAGCAGCAACATCTGAGAGAATGACATAATTACTTGTAACAAATCCTGAAAAGGTCCAGTTGATCCAGCCTCCAATGAGAATCATGGGAAGCACATTGGTGACGTTTCCTTTCATCATATCTGTCAGCATACTGGGATCTGTGAAAAGATACAGCATGAAACAAGAAACGCAACATTTAGGTCTTGCTAAGGACTGTTTTTTGTATAATATAATATACAATTGTTCGGCTTTATTGTGTGGATTACAACATTTAAAATAGCACAATCATATTCTGTGTAAGTGTGTATTGGTAAATACTTTATAGGATTACCTGTCATTGGTGAGGGTGGAACAACCTTTCTTTTGGTCTTCTTGAAAAATCCATCTTCTTGATTATTGAAGTAGAACTTCCTCATCAAAAAGGACTAAAGAAAAGAGAAGTTGTCAGTACAATGTTCCTACACACTGTCGTTCTGACAAATTAATGGAAACAACAGCTGTTTTGTGTAGATAATAAGACAATAACTTGTGCATTAGTTTTAAATGATTGATGAAATTCCCCACCTGTTTGGGAATGTATTTTCCATTTTCCCTGAGGATTCTGCTCCGGATAAGAACCTGGCTGGATTTGGAGATGAAACAAAAAGAAATGTTTGTAAATCCACTCAACTCAGTTTTTTTCTTCTGAAAACCCAAATACACTCATTTGTTTCTCAGGCGGTCCATTGAGGATTTTTTAATTTAAAACTGCAATTATTCAGCTAACTCAAATGTAAATTGTATATTGTATTAAATGTTTACATTTTGTGATTTTGATAGGCTGGTTTATCATAATGTACACTGCCTTCAATCCTGTATATTTATATTGTGTATTCAATAGATATACTCTATGGATACATATCATTCATTATTGATATATATATATTCAATGTTTGGTTTACCTTTCATGTTTATCTTCTACTGCTGATATGTATATATTTTATTATTATTGTGCTACGTCTAATCTACATGCTACTGTAATGAAACATGTTCCCAATGTGGGATCAATAAACTATATCTAATCCAATTTCAATTTGTTTAAAAAATAATAATAAACTCAACCTTTCAATTGAGGATTACCTACCTGTCAGAAACCTGTTCTAACGTCAACTTCTTGTCACTTTGAAGGAGAATGGACACATAATGCCGTATCACCCCGACGAGGAAGGTGATGAAGACAATGGGGAGCACCACCCAGAGTCGGATGTTGGAGTCCAGCAGCAGCTCCGGCTCAGCCATCCAGCCTGCTAGCTTAACTGGAGTCACAGACACAGTAAAACCATTATTTCAGTACATAGCAATCCAGTTAAACACAGTTTCTGTTTGTTTTAAAATATTAAAATGATGTTCTATTGAATTTAACGCATTTTTATTTTAATAGTTTGCTAAATTACTAATATGTAGGCTGTAGCAAGCCACCACCGAGCCTCGTTACCACAGAGCTGTCAGTTAGCCGGTTTAGCTAGCTAGCAGCTAACGTAATACACGTTAAACAACATGATTTAAGCTCCACCTCACAGAGTAAAAACGATCTGTTCTTTCATAAATCAGGAACAATCAAGTTTGAAACTACCACCGATTAACAGTTTAACACAGATCACACTAAGCTAATGTTAATGTTAGCCAGGCTACCTTCTTCCTGATACCCGGGGTCACGGTCGGTGGGAGCAGGGAGTCTCTAAGCGAGGAAACCACTTGCTGTGTTTTTATCCCAGCTGAGAGAGACGCGAAACATACGCTGAGCGACTAAGTTAAATTAATTAAACAATATTTAATAGTTCGCATCCACTGCTGCGGCCATCGCCCTGTGGTGTTGAATCCAGGGATGAGAGCAGATTTCTGCTTCTGCGGCTCAACCGCATCTCACCAGGACTGCAGCGCCACCCCGCGGTGATGGGGTGGGGGTGAGTGTGCCCGGGCCAGTGTCCCTATTATGAGTCAAGAGCAAGAGCTACAGCCTGAGGTCCATCTCAGGACAGGGCTGAGAGCATCAGTGGTGGAAGAGGAAAACTTGTACCTAAGTAAGAACTGTAATATCAAAGTGTATAAATATATTGCTTCAAGTAGGCCTAAATGGTTCCCTTTCAAAAACAATCAGAGCCAACGGCACTAGAAAACCCTTACTCTTAAACTCAGTTGACTTCACCTTAAACTTTTACTTTAAACTTTAAATCGCGACCACATGGACCAAAAGCGCGACCACATCACAAAAGCGCGACCACATCACCCCTATTCTGGCCTCACTACACTGGCTTCCAGTTCGGTTCAGAATTGATTTTAAAATCCTTTTATTTGTTTTTAAAGCACTAAATGGGCTGGCTCCGGCCTATATAGCTGAACTGCTCCAGCGCTACACCCCAGCCAGAGCTTTAAGGTCTTCTGACCAGCTGCTGCTGGTAGTGCCCAAGACCAGGCTAAAAACCCGAGGGCACCGAGCCTTCGCAGCAGCTGGCCCTAGGCTCTGGAACACTCTGCCCCTCCATGTGAGGTCGGCCCAGACACTAGGGGTTTTTAAATCTAAACTAAAAACACACTTCTTCTCTCTGGCTTTCTAGTTAGAGCGGAGCACGACTCCTGACTTTTCCGTGTGTTTTATTTTTATTTTGTTTTTAAGATATATCTGTTGTAATTTATTGTCGTTTATTGTGATTTGTAGTAATGTGTTTTTATTACATGTACAGCACTTTGGCTCGACCAAAAATCGCTTTTAAATGTGCTATATAAATAAAACCTGATTTGATTTGATTTGAAATCATGTTTACTATTTTGAATATGTTTATAATAATGTAATGTTTACTGTTTTGTATATGTTTACAATTTTGCTTGTTTGTTTTGTGTATTTTGCTCATGTTTGTGTGTTATTTTAAGTTGTTTTCTTTGCTATTAATAATTTCTTGTACTTGTATTGTAAACTGCCTGGGAGTTGGAAATATGACTCTAATAACGTGTATGTCTATGTGACAAAGATAAAATCCCTTAAATCTTTTGAGTCCTGAATTTTTACTTTCAAAAATGTACTTTAGTTAAAATGCAAAAGTTGTATATATAAAGTACATAAAGTATTCTCCTATTAAGGGGTGACTAAGTTATTTGAATTATTTGTAGACAAACCTTCGCCAGTAAAAAAACGATTTGATACTGGTGGTGGTTTGGAGCACTATTTTTCACTCCCCTCCTCTTGTGGCATTCCCTGGCAATTTCTTCTATAAAGGTAGAAAGTTAAATAATTGGAATTGATAGATAATAATTTATCTAAATTTTAATTATACATCATCATTTAATAAGGCCTATGTTACAATAGGCATGTATTAAATAGGCCTATGTTTTGTATAAATAAAATCTATAAAAGTATGCGAAATAGTAACTAGATTGAATCAATATGTATTACATGTATTTTTATATTGCATATTCAACTTTAATATTCCTATTTTCTTAGTACATTGGATGTTATGGTTATACAGAAATATGTCGTACAATCTTCTACTTTATGTTCTCGTTCTGTTTACTGTGTCCTCCCGTCCAGCGGGGGGCGGTGATTCAACATGTTTGGTAGCAGCCTTAAAAGCCGAGAAGAAGAATCTTCTGCTGACTGGAAAAACTGAAAAAAAACGAAAAATCAGTTTATTATCCTTCAAACGCTCAGATGCGTTAATGTCTTCGCTATTAAAACGGTATGTAACACAAAATAAGTAACATTTATATCTAATTTTCCGACTAAAGTAAGTTAAATTATTTAAGCCTACTCTGTGGTTTAAAACGTTAAAGTTATCGTGAATCTCGTTTAGCTAAACTGGCCTGCTTCTGTTTTAGCAAAGGCCTCCAGGAGGGTAATCTCTGAAATCCAATCCAAGCAACGATACCAGTTTTGTCAAATCTTTAAATTCACCTAAATCTAAAAAAGGGGCCTTTTTTTTGCCAGTCCTTCAAATCTGCATTCCTGGCTTTATCTTTGACTTATCTTAAGCCCTCCATATTTTTTCTGAATGTAAGGATAATATCCCAATGTCAGCATTTTTTTTATCAACATAGTTAGTGCAAAAGTGCAAGAGTCGTTTTATCTGAATTCAAGTGGATTAGTGGAGTATTGAAATATTCAGAACAAATCTGCCATTAAAGTTCATTCAAATCAGGTCAGACTCTGATATTTTCCCTTACTGACTGCTGACAGCTACTTTTTAATATACATTTAATGGCAAAAATATCCCCTTTTTTTTCTTCTTTAGACTTCCTTGATCAAACGTGTGTTCTCTACATTAAAGCATGGGAGCTGATAAAAGGTAAGATGATCAAAATTCAATATGGACGTGGCATATATTCCTTGAATTCGCACTGACACTCTTTTCCTTTTTCAGGCTTGGTCGGGGTGAGCGTAGTGGAAGATATGGATCAGATGGGAGGAGAGATGACCCCGAATGGAAGGAAAGACGGAGTCAAGATGTGGAGAGGGATGATGATCGACGATGGAGTGATGACAGACAGAGAGAGCGCTTTGACGATCGCAGAGACAGTCCAGAGGTGAGTAAACAGGAATACCTAAACCTTCATACATCTTGGTTCTACATTTACTATTAACTGAATTATGTTTGTATTCCTTTGCAACAGCGGGGCCGAAAACGTCGCAATAGTGACAGATCCGACGATGAATATGATGGGGATTATCCAGACCAGGACGACAAAATGGAGCAGGAGGAGGAGAGCAAGACTATCATGCTGAGGGGTCTCTCTCTTCATGTCACAGAGGATGATGTAAGCGCACAAGTCTCACTGATGCCTCGCAAGGTTGAGCCACACCAGGCGCAACGATAAGGGTAGAGCTGCTGATCTTAGGTTAATTTCTCATGAGGGAAAGTTAATCCTTTGTAAAAAGTGTGAAAGTAAGGAAAATTGGAAAATCTGCAAACTGACCAGTAGGAGTGTAGAAATCAGTCACACCTAAAATCCTTTTGTGAATGTACATAAGTAACAATCTGAGGCAACCTCTGCACAATGTGTTTCATTTGTTGATTTATTCCTAAAACACTTGGACTGGCATGACAATTTATCCACCATCAAGCAGCTCATTGTGGGAGGTTGTTGGCAGCATCTGGTCTGGTTTTACCACAATTTCAGTTTTTTGACTTTGTTAAAATGTAAACAATATCAGATGTTTTTTCGTGACCTAATGAACTTAGTTAGAAAGAGGCAGCTGGACATTTCTGAAACGGGAGATATCACATGAAGGTTGATAATACTGTTAGCTGAATGTGATTGAACCTGATTTAAATGTTCAAATAATGTCTCAAAACATATCTCTTCACACTGGCATTTCCACCCTGATCACATCACACATCCTCTGCTTTTCTGTTTTTATTAATTGACTATATTGTCGCGTTATTTTGGACTTTTGTTTTTGTTTTGTGTACCTTGTACGGCGACCTTGAGAGCCTTGAAAGGTGCCTTTTTTATAAATAAAACGTTTTATTTATTATTATTAAATGATGCACACATTAATGCAAAATAGAGGAGAAAAACAGTAGTTGTTTTTGGATGAATGTGACTGACTTCCCTAAATTCTGCAGATCCGCTCAGCTCTGGAGCAGCTGCCGGGGCCCCAGCCTGTGGACATTCGCTTAATGAAGAAAAGGACAGGTTAGTGTTGAGTGTCTCACATTCCCCTCCACACTCTGTCTTACAACCCGCTTTACCTCTTTTTTCCGATCCCTGATTAAAAAAAGCCTCACTTTTTAAGATGTCGCCAGGTAAGGAGGTAACTGTATGTGTTACTCCCGTACCATTTTTGTACAAACATTACAAGTTACAGTAAAACAAATCTACCACCATCCCCTTGACCTTGTAAGCACCCTTCCTATCTCCGTTTTGATTTGAACTGGACCATTGTGAGTTTGAATGTTGCACCAAGGCATTCTAACTAACACGCCTCCCGTCTATATTTGAATGCTGTTTCTAGGTATAAGCCGAGGTTTCGCCTTCGTGGAGTTTTATCACTTGCAAGATTCTACCCGATGGATGGAGACCAATCAGGTTGCTTCAACAATCACCAAGTTTAGAATTATTCTTGGAGATTAGAGCCCCAATGAAATTATAAGGGGAAGACCATAGATAGAGAGTTATGCATATTTGAAATACACAGAGCTTTACAGATCTAAAAACTGTTTAGTAGCAGGACAGTATCATAACCTTAACAAATCTGTGCTATTGTAGGTAATATTTTTGATACCACACACTTGGCTGGTTTAGTATACAGCAGCCTTTTCCACACAGAATATTCTCTTAAATTCTTAGTTTACTGAATGTTGAATCACTGTATAAAGGTTTTTGCTTTTGAAAATCCAATAACATCTCTTTTCTGTTTCTGTTTAAAATGTTAACCAAGATACTATGCAGAGAATATTTTAGGGCCTTAAGCTAAAACAACCTTTTCCTCTTATTTTGAAAGGATTATACTTCCTCTTCACAGAGTCCCAAGTAGTCTGGTTCAGTCCTGACTGTCCAGTTGTTCCATAGCACATTCTGCTCCAGCTCAGTCACTTGGATATTTCTCATCTTCATTTAAAATCCGAAGACTGGAGCGAGACATGGATGAGCTGGCAGCACTCCGATCCCAAACACATAGAACCCATTTGTTTTGTTTTTTTGAGAGTGCACTCCCTCGCACACAGAACTGCAGCTTTCTCTCTGAACTTCTCTTTCTATTTCTGTTCCCTTTTACTCCTTGAGACACTGCTAAGCAGCTAAGAGTGTAAGCCTAGCCACTCTTCCCCGTTCCAGCTGCTCTCACTCTTCTCTTTACATTTTGAAATAACTTGTGTTTTCCTACTTTGCAGAACAAGCTGGTGATCCAGGGGGAAAGCATTGTGTTGCACTACAGCAACAGGAAGCAGAAGTTTGAAAACTGGCTTTGCAATGCAGTGAGTGTCATTTAGTTTGAAGAGCACGGTTCTTAAAGGAAAACTGGAGTTAAATTAACGGTGTGTAATGAGTAGTTAAAATGAACAAGAAACTCATCATACATTACATTTACATATCATTTTAGCTGACGCTTTTGTTCAAAGCGGCTTACAATAAGTGCAAAAACCATAAAGATTCAAACTCCGAACAACAAGGAAAGTGCAGATATATTCCCTTCAAGCAAGAACATACCATCGGTTTTTTTAAATATACATACAGTATCTGGATTATACATGAGCAAAATTGTTAGACATTAAAAACACAGAACAAGAAAAGATCAAATGTAATAAAACCCTTTAAATACAAAGCACATGAATAGCTTATAGATGTATCACCAGCCACTATGTACATTAGTTGGTATAACCTGCCTGTGTGTTTTAGGCACCTAACTATGATCCCTGAATATTTGCCTATATTTTTTACAACGTTGTCATTGGTTTATCGCAGTGTGGGCTGTACAATTTCCGGAAGAGGCTGAAGTGTTTCAGGTGTGGATCAGCCAAAGTTGGTGAGTTGTTTCTTCAGCAACCAAAACATATATTATGGTTCTTCCCTGTGTATACCTTCAGCTGTGTCCTGCAGTAATGACTTATGGTAACCTACCTACATGTCACTCCTCTTTGCTGAGCACAGATGAGTCACCGGGACTCAGTGGTTTGAATGCAGACTCTCAACAGGCAGGAGACAACAATGGAGACAGTGAGTGTGTTTTCATTCCATAATCAATAGTACACTCATCCAGTAAACATATCTTCATTTATACATTTTTACTGTTTTTGTTAACAGCAATAATCTTGAGGAACATCGCCCCTCTTTCAAGTGTTGATGGGATTTTGAACCTCTTGGCGCCTTATGCCAACCTGTCAGCTGGCAACATCCGCCTCATCAAAGACAAGCAGACGGGCCAGAATCGAGGCTTTGCGTTTGTTCAGCTCTCATCTCCCCTGGTATGCTATTTCTGTAGTCATAAAATCAGTCAATATGTTTCTTCCGGGAGTGTGCACACGTGTGACAAATCTTGCCTTTTCACTTGTCGTATAGGAGGCTTCACAGCTACTAACTATTCTCCAGAGCCTTCAGCCACCTCTGAAACTCGATGGAAAAACAGTGGGTGTCGATTATGCCAAGAGTGCTAGGAAGTGAGTCAACACACACACACACACACACACACACACACACACACACATGCTGTTTGACAAAGCTTTCTATTAATAGAACATAGTACATATAAGCTCCATTAGTGGCACAACGTGAACTGCACCAGGTGGGAAGTTCTGTCCCCACATAGTGCAGGTTTTTAGATTAATTTGTTCTAGTGCCCTGATAATGGGAAAAAAATGGGAAATTGGTCCCCACAAAGTATAGCTTCATTTTCATTTGTGACAAAATAATGTGTACACTTCTAAAATGTATATCTTGCTTGAAAGTGGTAATTCGGTCCGGCCAGAAGGTTCATCATTTAAATGCAAGCATATTCAAAGCCAATAAAGGACTGATTTTCTTCCTGCGTGTGCTGCAAAATTGGGGTTTAACTAATCACTCTGTTTTCTTTCCAGGGACTCGGCGCAGCCTGACGGGATCAGAGCCAGCGCGCTCTCTGTTGCCAGCACAGCCATCGCTGCTGCTCAGTGGTCATCCAGCCAGGTATCTGGGTTTTACTCATGCTGTGCCATCATTCTAAAACATTTAAATTAAAACTACTTGGTGTGACCTTCCAGGTTTTCAATTACATTTATATCCTGAAATGCTAAAAGGTAGTATGAGTACAATTAGTGAACCATTCTTGGCCAGGTCAGCATTGAAAATGAGATTTTATCTCAATGTTTTTATCTGGTTAAATAAAGGTTAAATAAAAAAAATAATTGGGCTAAATAACTTTTTAGTGATTTCTCTCAAAGGTGGGGTAGGTAAGTTTGAGAAACCGGCTCGAGATACACTTTTTGTTATATTCCATGGAATGCTCTTAACATCCCGATAGCAATGAATAACTGGATGGCCTACCTGCCTGTCAGCCTTCCATCTGTGCACAAACTTATCTCGTGCCCTCATTGGTCATGTGCGCGTTCGTGTGTGTTGGAGGAGGGGCTCTGTAAGGAAGTGGCAGATTTGTTCCGGCTGTGTATTTTCAAATTCTAGCGCACTCGAGCTGGTTTCTCCAAAATTACCTACCCCACCTTTAAGGAGAGATATATGTGTGGTTGTTTACAAGAAGAGCAGGTATCATGCATCTTTTGAAGATATGGCATTTTTAAAAGTAAGAAAGAGACTAAGGCTCACGTGACACCCTGTTTTCAAGATTCAAGGGTTTTATTATCATGTGCACAGTAGCTACAATGTAGTTATGGAAATGAAAATCTTAGGTCCCGAGCTCCTCCAACAATGCAACATATTATATAAACGACATAAGACAACAAAATAATAATAAAAATAATACAAAAATAAAAATGGTGTAAATGAAACAGAGTACGATCAATTTTAATAAAATAGTGCAGGTGAAAAAAACTGAATGTAAGGTTAAATATTGTACAGTGAAATACAATGAACTGTTAATGTACAACGTGCAGTTTTGATAATCTTAGTGAGAGAAACATATTTAATAGGTGTCCTCCATTTACACATTTATTTGCAAAAATATGGGCTCGGTTGCAAATGCAACTTAACATTTAATTTGTGTTTTTGTGTACTTTTGCTGATTTTGCTCTCCTCTGGTTTTCTTGTAGTTGCAGCAGGCTTCAGGGTCCAGCTCTGACTACATTGCTCCACAGGGCTATGCACAGCAAGCACAGGTGAGTCCACACTCTGCCTTAATATGAACATGACTTAAAAATGTTTAAAAGACCAAAGCCTTATGTGACACTTTGTATTCTCTGATGTAGGGACTGAGTTATCAGGTGTGGCAGCCTGAAGTCTTGGCTCCAGTCCTTAGAGATGGATTACTTGGAGGTAAGAAGAGGTGTCAATTCCTCCAATTCCTTATTTTGACTGTTTTTGATTCTACGGCTGGGTTTGCTGATCTATCATTATCATCTGTGTCTAGCTGCTCCAGCAATAAATTCATTGATCCCTGCGTCTCTAGCTGCTGTCATATCGCAGACAGCTCAGGTTTACCAGCCTATCATGGTCAGCCAGCCGGGCATTCAGGTAATACCATGTCGTGTATTTATTGAGATATAACTTTTAATTTTTAATTGACCACTGGTTTTTCATTTATTTTTCTTTCACTCTGTCACATCAGTTAGTGAGACCTGTTGATGCAGTGCTACAGACTGCTTTTGTTTCCACGGCTGCAGCTGCTGATACGCGGACTGCTCACACTACAGGTGAGATACATTACATTTAAAATGGCTCCTCTGCATGTAAATGAATAGGATACACATATTGCCTTTGATTTATGAGGCATGGGCTTTTTCTTATGAGTCTCTTTGTATATCTGCAGCCCCTGAACCCTCCACATACCAGTACAACGAGGCTACAGGTTACTATTATGATCCTCAGACCGGCCTCTACTATGATCCCAGCAGCCAAGTATGTTCCCTGAGCAGAATATACTGCCTAACAATATGCTTTCGTATTATCCTTTATTTTACCAGTGCAGCAGTTAAAATGTTTCCTATGCTTGTTCTCAATAGTACTACTATAACGCAGAGACTCAGCGGTACCTCTACTGGGACAACGAGACGCAGACGTACGTCCCTGCACCGTCTGAATCAGACACAGAACAAGTGTCGGCTAATAGTTCTTCAACCCCAAACAGCAAAGAGCTCAAAGATAAAAAAGAAAAGCCCAAAAGCAAGTCTGCACAACAGGTAAATGCTACTTTTAAAGCCTTAGTCCCCCTGTGTGTAACTTGCATCTTTTTATTTAAAGGATATCTGTACTGATTGCTCAATACAAATTGCAGATCGCAAAGGACATGGAGCGTTGGGCGAAAACCTTAAATAAGCAAAAAGAAAGTTTCAAGAGCCCTTTCCAAGGTTTTGGGTCGTCTAAGGAAGACGACAGGAGAGAGTCTGCTGCTGCCGACGCGGGGTTCGTCGTCTTTGAGAAAAAGGTATTGAGTTGCCACAACTAGCCCTTTTTTTGCATAGGCTAAGGGTAATAGCATAATTGAGGCAGTACTTGTATAGACTGAGAGGTAGATTCTTGTGAAGGCATCATACAAAATTCCTTCTTTTTGTAGAAACTATACAGTACCTAATAATAATGTTTTTCTGAGCAGCTCTAATGTTACATGTGTTACAATATGACTGACTTGATTGTCAACCATTAGCTTTCTATTCATAATGAATATACAGTGGTACAATATTTGTTATTTAGTGGGAATGCTGATACAGCATTCCAACTATCTGTTATGCTACGCACGAAATTCTTTATTATTCCGCCGGGTTATTTTGCACCTCTTCTTCTCCCACATTCCACATCGCAGAAACTCCGTTCAAACATCAAAACGTTCAGCTCGGTCGGGAATCGATGGCTATTACTTTACTCATTCATAACTTTCATAATTCCAGAGATACATCCCATAATTCATCACATTTTTAACATGGAAGTCAATGGAGAAACTCTTCAGACTTGAACAATCTTCATGCAACTTCAACTGCTAACTGCTCCTTCATACTTTCACTCAGAAACCTCATTCCAACTTTAAAATGTTACACATCTTTCTGACATTATTCGTGTAACACAACTTTTAAATCTGATTCTTACTTTTAGAGATATTAAACATTGTTCAGACCTTGGTAAAGAGGCCTTCAGATTTTAGAGTGCGTGATGTCACAGCTAGAGTGGAGGACAGATTTAATTTTGCCTTCATATTTTCTTTTAAACCTGCCATAATTCCCAAACCCTACATTCCTGAGACATATTTTTTCATGAGAAACGTAGGAAAACATCTCGTGGCTTGAAAAAAAAAAAAAAATTAAGCAAAATAATTAAACAAAATGACTCTTGAGGGCATGAAGTGACAAAAACTTTCAACATGTCTCCATTAAAGCCCATTGTAATTTCAGCCTCATCTTTCCCCACCACAGCAGCCGCACACTTTTAGTTAATCTGCCAAAAAGGCCACATTATTAACCCGAAAGTACACAAAAAGTACACTTCAGATGCTCAAGTTCCTTATCATGCTTCACGTAAAACACGATATTGCTATAACTCCTATGAAAATGGTCAAAAAGTGCTCAAACTTCACGTGTGCTAACGTCCGGCCGTTTCTTTTCTTTTCTTCTCTTATCACACATTCAAGCCCGCAGTGTTCATGTATCATTTCAATCAAAATTCTTCACTTTCTTCTTACACATTACATTTCAGCATAGCAATTCAGCGTCAGCTTTTCAGCATAAAGCATTCCCACTAGCAATTTCTTCAGGAATTGCATTCTCTAGTTAAGAGTTGCTGTCTTTTAGCAAACAGGAGGTTTGGAGATGCCATCTTTCATGATGGAACAATTCCAGACTGCAGAACAGGAGACTCCAGCTAAGGTTTGTTTCCTCCTTCGCCTTAATTCCCCCACTCGACCATTAAAAACAAACCGCTTCAACCTTTCTCAATTTTCATACTATAGAGCGTCCTCGTTTCTACCTACAACGGAGATAGTGAGCCGGAAGAAGGCGGCTCAGAAAGAGCAACGGATGTGGAGGGAGAAATAACGGACTGGAAGAAGATGGTCTGCCTACTCTGTCAGAGGCAGTTTCCCAACAAGGACACTCTGCTGCGTCACCAGCAGCTCTCTGACCTCCACAAGGTGAGGGTGGGGAGCAGCAGGCATTAATCTGCATGTAGCTGTGAGAATTCTGGCTGTTGCCATCTGTTCAACAGTATTAAGCTCCAATACAGAATCACGAGGTAGTGGATGTTAAAGTTGCTTTTAATTGTTTAAGCAAAACATGGAGATTCAGAGAAGATCAAAACTCACAGAAGATCAACTGGAGGAGCTGGAGTGGAAAGAAACTGAGGTATTTGGCACATGAATTTGATCCCATTTCATCTAGCAGTGATTTTTTTTCTTTGTTGTTGCAATAAGGACACATTTTAATAAGGCTTCATGGTCATTTTAACAGTGGAAATACAGAGACAGGGCTGCAGAGAGAAGGGAGAAGTACGGAGTTCCTGAACCTCCTACCCCTAAGAAGAAGAAAGTCTTTAAACCGCCGGCCCAGTACTCTACAGTGTAAGTGTAATTTAAATCTCAGTGCCGTCATCTGTAAAATGTCAGTGATTGAATCTCTAACATCTCCTGGTTTTCACCTGCAACAGAGACTATGAACAGCCCACCAAAGACGGCCTTACAAATGATAACATTGGAAACAAAATGTTGCAAGCTATGGGCTGGCAGGAAGGAAAAGGCCTGGGCCGCCACCAACAGGGCATCACCGCTCCCATCTCGGTGAGGAGTGCAAAAGGATTTTTCGTTTTCCCACATCTTGCATACTTAGTTCCTAACAGATGGAATATGCACGTCTACTTTTTTTATTTTCACTCGCAAAGCAATTAGCACTGTTACCTGAGGGCTAACTGCCTCCAATCTGTCTCCTCTAATAACCTTCTTTTCCCCACAGGCTTCACTAAGGACCAAGGGCACAGGCCTGGGTATTAAAGGAAGCTCATATGAACTCTCAGCATCTGACACCTACAAGGATGCTGTTCGTAAGGCCATGTTCTCACGCTTCACTGAGATGGAGTGAACCAGTGAGAGAAAAGTAATCATACTGAACCGGGAACTATTCATTTTGGGGCCAAATAATCAAACTGTGAAACGGAGAAACTTTTTTTTTTCTTCCTGCACAAACTTAAACTTTGATTTCTTTCTTCTCGATGTATTTAACATTTGATTTCATTCTATATATATTTTGTCATCCAGTATATGTTTTCAGTTAAAGGTGGGGTAGGTAAGTTTGAGAAACCGGCTCGAGATACACTTTTTGTTATATTCCATGGAATGCTCTTAACATCCCGATAGCAATGAATATCTTAAGTGCTTTGACAAAAAATCCATACAAAAATGTCATCTGTGGAAGCCGTAGTACTGTAAAAAGCACGACCAATCATCTGAGCCGGCCCGGCTAAAATAACTCGATGGCCTACCTGCCTGTCAGCCTTCCATCTGTGCACAAACTTATCTCGTGCCCTCATTGGTCATGTGCGCGTTCCTGTGTGTTGGAGGAGGGGCTCTGTAAGGAAGTGGCAGATTTTCTCCGGCTGTGTATTTTCAAATTCTAGCGATCTCGAGCCGGTTTCTCCAAAATTACCTACCCCACCTTTAAAGGAACATGTAAATGCTGTATATTGTTTGTACATAACATTTGGATCTGAGGTTTTGTTTGTGTGAATATCAAAAAATCCAGTTGACAATTAAACCCAATCTTTGTGCTCAACAACTCGTATCTGACAGATTTTTCTTACTTTCCAAAAAAATTAATGAGTATTTTATCCTTGTGTATCTCATGATGTTATTCAAACACTAACATAAAACATCTCTTATGCATATTACCTAAAACATAAACTTCTCACAAAAAGCTCAGAAAATATCCCTCAATTGAAGAACATGCAGGTGCTCTAGCTTCATCCAGTACATCCACAGTGTTTGGATTAATGTACAGGCTGATCATGTGTACTTATGTGCTCATTTCAATTGATATAAACCTATAGTTTGGGCTCATTATACAAATGCTGGTATTGATTCTCTGTTCATGCTGAATTTCTATCTCTCAGCCACTTCAGATATGTTGCCCATTATTTCTGTCAGACCCTCTATTGGCTGCCTTCATATCCTCTTTCCTGAGGCTTAATGGCTGAAGTGTTTCACTAGCTCTCGCTTCAGTGGGATGCCAGGGATTTTGAAACTGTCCCACAGAATCCTTGCTGTTTGTTTTGGCTCGATTCAACTCTGCTTTTTCCCGGGAGAACTGAGAGCTAGCTTAGATGTGTGAGGCCACAGAGAGACAGTACTGTAGCTCCAGCCACCTTTATGGATGTGTTAAAACTCTTTAGCTCTGTCATGATAAAGTGACCGGTTATGGGTTATTCATTTCTTAATTCCTGGGAAGAACTTCAATACTTTCCTGTTGTTATTTCTCATATAGTTGATTTTAAAGTCATTTTTGACAACTCGGACCAGCATTCAAGTGTCAGTCAATTTCCATTGTCATGTTTCAGTAAAGCATTTGAAAGATGTTAATATAGTGCTAATATCTGCTTTTTGTATGTTATGCACATGCCTTGTTACAGGAATTCACTTTCATTCCCATCACTAGGGGGCAGTGTCAGTTTTTGAAGGTATTTCTTCAGACTGTCACTGTTAAATATGATAAAAATGACTAAAACCTTACAAGAACAACCCAGTTTATTTCTATGAAATGTATTTAGCAAATATTAAATCCACAATTATTTTTGTATGTATGCAATAGAAATGGGAACATGTTATATTTATTGCCGGTCAGATCAGATATTTTCTCCATCTTGCTGCAGTTTTTATATCCGTACCACCAGCATGTCCCCCCTCCCCTGCCTCACAGTGACGTGGTGATGTCCTCACGGCTGCTGGGCACAGAGTTGGGCGTGGGAGGGGGATTAACGTCACTGGTGTTAGTTCATCATACAACAGTCACAATGTAGGAGGTTTCTTATTAAAACTATTTTCCTCAAGCAACTGACTACTATGAGGTTTTTATGCATCATAACAGGTAGCCTGCTTAGTCAGGACAGGAGCACGCACGTGTCTTTGAGACAGCCAGCCAGAGTAGCCTAACTAACCCTGTAGTAGCAGAATGACAGCTGTGATCTCATGTTGATTAAAACTGCAGCACGAAACGAACTGTGCTCACTGTCACACTGGGACACATTGTGAATGCCTACTCAGTTTTCAGCATGGCACTGGCTCAGCTTACCAGAATCTGTGTCAGTTGACTAAGCCGTTTTGCATAACCCAGTCGGTGGCCACACTGAATAAAATGTGAGAGGATGAGGTTGGCACAAGTACAGCAAGTTTCAAATGTATAGAGAATGTGATATGAATATGATTTCAGCTAATGCACTCTCTGTTTAGTCGTAGACGAGCCTAGTTCTTTGAATTCAAAATGATATTCCTTTGTTTTTCTTATCTAATACTGTGGCTCAGTGGAGCAGGTCAGATCATTTTAATGTATTTTGCCTTACTAAGTAGCATTATCTCCAACAGACAAACAAATATAATTGATCTTGATGATAGTCAATCTTGTAGTCTAGATTTAAACATGAAGAAAGATCTGAAACCACAATACACATTTTCCTTTTCTGTGGATTTAAAGGAAAAAGAAGCACAGGACACTAGCGCGTTAACAATCTCTTGACTTGCCTGTGATGTAGGCATGACATACAGTAATAAAAAGGATGATACATTCTGGTACAACATGATAAGAAGTGACATGAAAACTGAAGCTGAAAAACAAGAACTACATCATAACCTGCATGTGACTATACAAGTATGACAATGACAAGCTTATAATGATAAAGGAAGTTGAGCATGAACATGAGGAATTTCAGACCATTATCATATTTCAAGATCATTGTACTCTATCTGATAAAGTTGTTAACATAATTAATTGTTGTGTAAAGGGAATCTCTGTATGCTGTCAGGTTGATGGTGAAGCTGCACTGATCAAAAGGACATGCTGTACAGCGTGGTGTTTGTCTACATCTGAAATGTTTGTTTTTCTTTCCTCTGGGATCTAAAAGGAAATACATCTAAGACTACACTCCCAACAAATGCATGACAAACAGAAGGACTCACACTGGTCGTACACGTGTCTCATGCAGGCAACTCGCTTTAGACTCTGGCCAGCTGTCCAAACAGGAAAATGCAATAACTGAGGAACTTAGGAGCCGGGTTCATTTAGAAAGAGTTTAGATGTCTTATTCGATCTTAGCATTCATAAGATGAGGTATTTCTACTTTATTATTCAGGTATTATTCCAAAAACCTTTGGGATATGTCTCCCACGGGGCCCTTAAGACAACTTCCTGATACCATCCATCTGAGGATCTTAAGTATGAGTCTGAATGTTGTCAACATAGGGTGTTTCTTTTTTCTTTTTAAAATAATAATACTGTAGAATCTACCAGTAGGGTATTTGGTTATTTAATATGCAGGAAACCTTAATGCTATCCCCAGTCAAACTTGGAAACTTTTTTGTACTAATTATGTGTTCTACTGTTAATTTGTAGGTATGTATTATATATACGCTTTATAAATGCAATGTATTATTATTATTAGTACTAAAAATGTATGTTGTATATTTCAAATACATCTTTTATGCATATGAGGAGATTGATCCACAATTCCAAAAATGGGTTGGCCACACAAAGTTCATTCAGGGTTCATTTCTGAAGGATGGGACTGTTATTTTTCCACATACATTGTCGCATGAGCCTGTCATGATTCCTTCAGGTGCCATAGGTTACAGTGATTTGACGAGGCTATACCCAGCAGCTGGCAAAGGGATGACATTTGAACAATAGTTGGTAAACATTTGATGAGTTTAAGGCGAAGCTGCCAGATGTGGAAATTCCCTTGGTAGTGGCTTCAGTGTTCCGCTATTAATTGAGTTTAATCCAATGTAGGATCTGTTCTGTGTGGAATTAACAGCTGATGTGAATATAATAATATATATAACAAGATTAATCTTATCTGATTTCACTTAAAGGGGACCTATCATGCAAAATGCACTTTTGTACGTCTTTTATACATGAATATGTGTCCCCGGTGTTCCAGGGAACTCACCAAGTGTCAGAAAACACAACCCTCTCTATTTTCCTCCATACCCAAATCTCTAAAAAAGGGGCTGCAACGGATCTGATAAAAACTGATCCAGATTTGAACACTTTCCTGACATCAGGAGGGTGGCGCTACGGCTATTGGGCCAACTCCACCAATCAGGAGGAGACAGCCACGGCCATTGCCGTTCGAAAGCGCTGGAGACGCTGTAGTACATATGCCAGGCCAGTAGATGGTGCTGTTCTCACAGAATCAGCCCTTGCAAAAACAGAGCTAACATTTTTCAAATTGAGCGAAATGAGGCATGGCTAAAATGCATGATCTGTTTGGTATTTTGGAAGAAAAAAAAAGTATAAATATGCCTTATATAGGTATGGTCCTACACTATATTATTCAAATATAGCATGATAGGTCCACTTTAATGTTACCTTGTTGGTGTAATAAACCCAATCATTTTTTCATCAGATTTCCATGGCTTCAAACAATAGGGGTTTAGAGCAATGCCATGGGCTCTGGAAGGCTGTATGGTACAGTTGTGTTTTGAGCTAAATGCGAACACCTAAATGCTATGGTAACATTTTGCTGTTTAGAATGTATAATGTTTAGCATGTTCATAATCTAAGCTCAGCTGTCAGTAGGACACATTCCCTGGGGACCATGAATGTCTGCATAAGAATTAGGTGCCAATCGATTTACTAGATGTTGAGATATTCTACTGGATACCTAATATATTGAACCTGTTGATGGCCATAGAGGAACACTTACAGGGTTGCAAAAGGCATTGGGATTCACCCTTTGGGGACTATGAATGTCTAGCTCAAATCCAATATTTGTTGTCATATTTCATTTTGGACCAATGTGGAGAATTGACCGACAGACATTATTACCATTTATGAGCCATGTCACTTGCATGGCTAACATTATATATTTTGATAGTGATATGTAACAAAAATGAGCTGCAACTGAT